AGAGAGGGAACACGACCATTGAGAGTACGACTGGAACCTCAACGACTGATGCAAAATCAGTTGGTGGTGGGGGGGGGGGCTGCGCACAGATGTGCGTGTGCATCTATACATATACTAGAACCATCGCGCGCGCTCAGGTTCTAGCCCAGGCCGGGGGGGCGCTGGACGATCTTGGGCAACGCTATCAAGCACAGGCGCGCGACGGCATCTGAGGAGCTTCTGGGGTGTTCCACATGCTTCGTCAACTGGCTGTTGGAGGCACCTCTTGGGTGCCTCTTGGGGGAGCGTCTGAGGGTCCCTTGGGGGCATCGGTTCTGCAATCTGAAGCCGTCATTGGCCGTCTTGGCTGCGTGGAGGCCCGACTTGAGGCCACCTGCGGCCAGATTGAGGCAATCTGGAAGCCTCCCTGGGGCCTCCTGGAAGCAGTTTTGATGCATTTGGGGCACTCTTGGGCTATTTTAAAACCTCTTGGACGTCTCCCAGGGGCCTTTGGGGCCCTCGGGGAGCTTTTGGGGTCCTCGTCGGACCACTTTGGGGCCTCTTGCAGCCTCCTGTGGGCCTTGTGGGGGGACCGCTCTGCTGTTGGGTCGCGTTCCCCTTCTCCTCTCTTGGGGCTCTTGGGGCCCTCTCGGGCCGTCTTGGGCGCCTCAAGCACCGTCTTGGGGCCCTCGCGGGCCGTCTTGGGGCCCTCTTGGAGGCCTCTTCCTCTATATGGGAGCGGTATTGGAAGCCTTTGGGGCCGTCTTGGAGCATCGGGATGCCAAAAGGCCGAAAAAAAAACCGTCAAAGCCCAATCGTAAAACAATGAGTTGTGCCTCTTGGGGCCACCTTGGGAGATCTCTTGGAGCCTCGTCGGCCCTCTTGGGAGCTTCTTGGGGGCCTCTTGGATCCGATTGGGGGCCTCCTGGGACTTCCCGAGAACCTCTCGGGGTAGAAAGCTCGGATTCTCGGTTCATGTTTCCCTTCTTGGGCCTCTCTTGGGGCCGTCTTGGGCGCCTCAGGCACCGCCTTGGGGCCCTCGTGGGCCGCCCAGGGCCCTCTTGGAAGCCTCTTCGGCTATCTTGGAGCTGTCTGGGAGGCCTCTTCCTCCTCCTCGTCCCCCTCCTCCTCCTCCCACTCCAGCTCTCTCTCTCCTCCTGATCTTCCTCCTCCTGCAGCGTGTTCCGGAAGGCTCCCGCCGGAACATGCTGTGCACAAGTGCTGTCACTGCTCCCGCCACCGTGCCCTGGGTGGTGGGTCAGAGGCCTCATGGGTGTTGGTTTGGATCTCGTGGTTGGCCTGTCGGGGACGTCGTGAAGGCAGTTTCGCAGCTTCTCGGTAGCCGTTTTGGGACCGTTGTGGGGCCTCCTCGGGCTGCTTTGTGGCCTCTTTAGGCCTCGTTTGGGCCTCCTGGGTGCCTCTTGGGGGCCTCCTGGGGCCTCTTGGGGGCTCCTTGGGGCCTCCTGGGGCACTCTTCAAGCGGGAGGGTCGAATTTTGGAGTCGTGGTCCCCCTCTTGGGCGCATCTTGGGGCCGTCTTGGGGCTCTGTTGGGCTGTCTTGGGCGACTCTGGGGCCGTCTTGGGGCCCTCTTGGGCCGTCTTGGGGCGCTCTTGGGGGCCTATTGAGCCGTCGTGGAACGTCGGACAGCCGAAAAGGCTGGAAGGCCAAAATCGTTCGAAAACCTTCGTAAACTTGACGATTTCGGCCTCTGGAAGCGCTCTGGAGAGGCGTCTTGAAGCGTCGTGGAGTGCCTTGGGGCGCCTCTCGGGCCGTCTTGGGCATATCTTGGGCGTCCTAGAGCGGTCTTTCGGCGACTCGGGGCCCGCTTGGGCCGTCTTGGGAGCCTCTGGAGGCCCTCCTGGACTATTTTGGGCCTCCCCGGCCGCCCCTCCTCCCATGGGGGGTCGGAGGCGGCGCCCTCCGAGGTCTAGGACGCGGAAACCCTTTTAAAAACACAGGGAAAATGAGCCCCAGTACCCCATGGAGGCTTTTCGGCGCTCTTGGACCGATGGGAGCTCGAAAACGCGAGAAGCCAAAAACATTGAAAAGAACATTGAACATATACGACTTTGGCCTCTCCAGGCCGTACCGCGATACCTATCAGACTTCTTGGGGTCTCTTGGAGGCCACCTGGGAGCCTCGAGAGCCGTCGGAAGGCTGACTTGGGCTGCTCGGGAGCGTCTTGGGCCATCCTTTCGCATTCTGGGGGCTCCTAGGGGGCGTCTTGGGCCCTCCTGGAGCGCTGTGGAGGCTGCCCAGAAAGGCTGGGGCAGCAGTGCCGGGAGCGTCCCCGAGATGTGGCCATATCTTCTCAGCGCGTTCCAGGAGCATCTTCCCGGAACGCGCTCGTGGCAGGGCGCCCACGTCCGAGGACGTTGGCATGGGAAACCGCAGCGCGTGTTCATTCCAGCGCGTTCCGGCGAAGACCGGCCAGAACGCGCTTGGGCAAGCGCTGGGTTTGATGAAGGCGAGTGGGAACCGTTCAGGCAGTTTGGGATGCTCGGGGCAAGAGGCGGAAGCCATCCTCAGAAGACATGCAGTCTTCCTGGAGCCGTCTTGCAGAAAACAAAAGAAAAATTATACCCTGCAGTCGTTCCTGGAGCCGTCTTGGAGCCCTCTTGGGCTGCCCTGGAGCCTGTTGGAGCCCTCTGCAGAATGGTCTTGGAGCCCGCGCCGAGGATCTGGAAAATGTCCGGGGACCATCGCGGCGGCCTCCGAGGCCCGGGACGCCGAACCCCCGTGAAAACATAGCGAAAATGAGCCCCGGTACTCGCATGGAGGGTCGGGCAGCTGTTTTCGGGCCCCTGGGTTAGAACCATCGCGCGCGCTTCGCGCGCGCGCTCAGGTTCTAGCCCAGGCCGGGGGGGCGCTGGACGATCTTGGACAGCGCTATCAAGCACAGGCGCGCGACGGCATCTGAGGAGCTTCTGGGGTGTTCCGCATGCTTCGTCAACTGGCTGTTGGAGGCACCTCTTGGGTGCCTCTTGGGGGGGCGTCTGAGGGTCCCTTGGGGGCATCGGTTCTGCAATCTGAAGCCGTCATTGGCCGTCTTGGCTGCGTGGAGGCCCGACTTGAGGCCACCTGCGGCCAGATTGAGGCAATCCGGAAGCCTCCCAGGGGCCTCCTGGAAGCAGTTTTGACGCATCGAGGGTACTCTTGGGCAGCCTCTTGGACGTCTCCTGGTGGCCTTTTAGGCCCTCGGGGAAGCTTCTGGGGTCCTCGTCGGACCACTTGGGGGCCTCTTGCGGCCTCCTGTGGGCCTTGTGGGGGGACCGCTCTGCTGTTGGATCGCGTTCCCCTTCTTGAGCCTCTCTTGGGGCTCTTGGGGCCCTCTCAGGCCGTCTTGGGCGCCTCAAGCACCGTTTTGGGGCCCTCGCGGGCCGTCTTGGGGTCCTCTTGGAGGCCTCGTCCTCTATATGGGAGCGGTATTGGAAGCCTATTGGGCCGTCTTGGAGCATCGGGATGCCAAAAGGCAAAAAAAAAAAACGTCAAAGCCCAATCGTAAAACAATGTGTTGTGCCTCTTGGGGCCACCTTGGGAGATCTCTTGGAACCTCGTCGGCCCTCTCGGGAGCTTCTTGGGGGCCTCTTGGATCCGATTGGGGGCCTCTTGGGACTTCCCGAGACCCTCTCGGGGTAGAAAGCTCGGATTCTCGGTTCGTGTTTCCCTTCTTGGGCCTCTCTTGGGGCCGTCTTGGGGCCCTCTCGGGCCGTCTTGGGCGCCTCAGGCACCGCCTTGGGGCCCTCGTGGGCCGCCCAGGGCCCTCTTGGAAGCCTCTTCGGCTATCTTGGAGCTGTCTGGGAGGCCTCTTCCTCCTCCTCGTCCCCCTCCTCCTCCTCCCACTCCAGCTCTCTCTCCTCCTGATCTTCCTCCTCCTCCTCCTGCAGCGTGTTCCGGAAGGCTCCCGCCGGAACATGCTGTGCACAAGTGCTGTCACTGCTGCCGCCACCGTGCCCTGGGTGGTGGGTCAGAGGCCTCATGGGTGTTGGTTTGGACCTCGTGGTTGGCCTGTCGGGGACGTCGTGAAGGCAGTTTCGCAGCTTCTCGGTAGCCGTTTTGGGACCGTTGTGGGGCCTCCTCGGGGCTGTTTTGTGGCCACTGTAGGCCTCGTTTGGGCCTCCTGGGTACCTGTTGGGGGCATCCTGGGGCCTCTTGGGGGCTCCTTGGGGCCTCCTGGGGCACTCTTCAAGCCGGAGGGTCGAATTTTGGAGTCGTGGTCCCCCTCTTGGGCGCATCTTGGGGCCGTCTTGGGGCTCTGTTGGGCTGTCTTGGGCGACTCTGGGGCCGTCTTGGGGCCCTCTTGGGTCGTCTCGGGGCGCTCTTGGGGGCCTATTGAGCCATCTTGGGACGTCGGACAGCCGAAAAGGCTGGAAGGCCAAAATCGGTCGAAAACCTTTGTAAAATTGACGATTTCGGCCTCTGGAAGCGCTCTGGAGAGGCGTCTTGAAGGCGTCGTGGAGTGCCTTGGGGCGCCTCTCGGGCCGTCTTGGGCCTATCTTGGTCGTCCTGGAGCGGTCTTTCGGCGACTCGGGGCCCGCTTGGGCCGTCTTGGGAGCCTCTGGAGGCCCTCCTGGCCCATGGGGGGTCGGAGGCGGCGGCCTCCGAGGCCCAGGACGCGGAAACCATGTAAAAACAAGGAAAATGAGCCCCGGTCCCGCCATGGGGGGTGGAGGCACCTGTCCAGGGGCCCCCGGCCTCGCCCCCAGGGATATATATATATATATATATATATATATATATATATATATATATATATATATATATATATGTATAGATATATGCGCATTGCATCCAGAACATGATCAGAGGGCGTTGAAGAGGAGGGCCTCCCACAAAAGGGGAGGAGCACGCCCGAAACAAAGCCTGGATACACCGTCCCCCAGGACAAACTCACGAAGCAAGAGCAATCTCGACACTCAGAGGGCATGCTACACTATGCCGTGTTTGGCAGCCCCTTGGCAACCCTAGGCGTCAGACATTCAGCCTGCGGCTCCCTGAGGAGCACCAGAATTTCGCGAGATCAAGCAAGCAGGGTGGCAGAGAGCAGAGAAATGGGGCCCAAGCCTGCAGAATATGGTGCGGATCTGGCCTCACCAGCCGTGAGTCGCACGGCTCCGCTGAAACGCTGGGCCCGGCTCCTTGAAAAACCTTCCAGAAGCAGGAGCGGGAGGGAGGGAGGGATATCAGAGTTACAAAGGCTGCCCATCATGGTACAACGAGCATAAGAGAACTGATAGGGCAAACAAACTGCGGAGACAGCAGCGCCAGCCACGCTGCAAACAAACAATCGCCGACCTACGACTCATCCGCCACCGTACCTTCAGGACGTAGTAGTGGGACTGCACGGTGTGAGGATTAGAACTCATACAGGTGTGGAGTGCCTCAGGACTCATACAGGTGTGAGGACTACAGGGACGAGTGGGATTGTATGATCTTGAAAGGCCCAAGCGGACTCCCCCCCAAAAATAGCCTTCCAGGTGTCGCTCGAAAAGGCGCTGGAACTCTCAGTCGAATCAGGAGACCATCCTGGGACTCTCTTGGGTGCCGCTTGGCCGTCATGGAGGTCCCGGGGCCGCCCCAATCTGCCAAACACGTGGGAGAAAATGGCTGCTAGCGTGAACCCCAAACAACAGATTTCGGCACTCTGGATGGGTCGGGTACGTAGTGCAATGCATGCGGGGAAGATGTGCTGTGAAACATGTGTGGTCCGAGCTACGTGCTGCAATACATGATGTGCAAGATGTATGGGGCAAGCTATGTGGTGCAGTCCTCGTGGTGCAAGCTACGTGGTGCCAGGCCATGTGGCGCAGTAGCAGTGATGTGAGCTGCGTGGTGCAGATTATGGGGCAAGCTGTGGGGCGCAAGCTATGTGGGGCAAGCTGCGTGGTGCAACATTCTTGGTGCAAGCGATTCAGTGCAGGCTACGTGGTGCAAGCTGCACGGTGGAATCCGTGCGAGCGGCGACGAGGCGCCCCCCGGGCGGCGACGGGGCGAGACCTCGGCCGCCACAGCCAGCGCACGGGACGCCCACGAGGTGCCCACGAGGCGGCGAAGGGGGCGAAAACTCGGCTGACAAAGCTCAAGGTCTTCGACAAAGCCCCAAGATGGCCCCGGGGCCCCTCCCCAGCGTTCCCCAAGTCGCTTCCCCAAGCGCTGGGGGAACACGCAGGGCACCAGCATGGCCGCACATTCGCTGGAGATTTCACCACGCAGGCGCTTCCAGAAGGCAGGGGACGGCGGTGATTCGGCGCAGGCGCCTTCGATGAGCTGAGGAGGTCTCGACATGCTGTCGCCGCAGCGGTTTTACACCGGCGAAGCTGGCGTGTCGGAGGCCCGTGTCGGAGTCACACCGGGATCATCCCAAGATCCAGATGGATCCTACCCAGGCAGCCTGAGGTACGCAGCGAACCTCATGCTCTGGACAACCGCAAGGGTGCAAGCGACCTCCTGCAGCTGATGCAGCTGTTAGCTCCAAAAAGCACTTGCAACGTCTGCCCATCATGGTACAACGAGCATAAGAGAACTGATAGGGCAAACAAACTGCGGAGACAGCAGCGCCAGCCACGCTGCAAACAAACAATCGCCGACCTACGACTCATCCGCCACCGTACCTTCAGGACGTAGTAGTGGGACTGCACGGTGTGAGGATTAGAACTCATACAGGTGTGGAGTGCCTCAGGACTCCTACAGTTGTGAGGACTACAGGGACGAGTGGGATTGTATGATCTTGAAAAGCCCAAGCGGACTCCCCCCCAAAAATAGCCTTCCAGGTGTCGCTCGAAAAGGCGCTGGAACTCTCAGTCGAATCAGGAGACCATCCTGGGACTCTCTTGGGTGCCGCTTGGCCGTCTTGGAGGTCCCGGGGCCGCCCCAATCTGCCAAACACGTGGGAGAAAATGGCTGCTAGCGTGAACCCCAAACAACGGATTTCGGCACTCTGGATGGGTCGGGTACGTAGTGCAATGCATGCGGGGAAGATGTGCTGTGAAACATGTGTGGTCCGAACTACGTGCTGCAATACATGATGTGCAAGATGTATGGGGCAAGCTATGTGGTGCAGTCCTCGTGGTGCAAGCTACGTGGTGCCAGGCCATGTGGCGCAGTAGCAGTGATGTGAGCTGCGTGGTGCAGATTATGGGGCAAGCTGTGGGGCGCAAGCTATGTGGGGCAAGCTGCGTGGTGCAACATTCTTGGTGCAAGCGATTCAGTGCAGGCTACGTGGTGCAAGCTGCACGGTGGAATCCGTGCGAGCGGCGACGAGGCGCCCCCTGGGCGGCGACGGGGCGAGACCTCGGCCGCCACAGCCAGCGCACGGGACGCCCACGAGGTGCCCACGAGGCGGCGAAGGGGGCGAAAACTCGGCTGACAAAGCTCAAGGTCTTCGACAAAGCCCCAAGATGGCCCCGGGGCCCCTCCCCAGCGTTCCCCAAGTCGCTTCCCCAAGCGCTGGGGGAACACGCAGGGCACCAGCATGGCCGCACATTCGCTGGAGATTTCACCACGCAGGCGCTTCCAGAAGGCAGGGGACGGCGGTGATTCGGCGCAGGCGCCTTCGATGAGCTGAGGAGGTCTCGACATGCTGTCGCCGCAGCGGTTTTACACCGGCGAAGCTGGCGTGTCGGAGGCCCGTGTCGGAGTCACACCGGGATCATCCCAAGATCCGGATGGATCCTACCCAGGCAGCCTGAGGTACGCAGCGAACCTCATGCTCTGGACAACCGCAAGGGTGCAATCGACCTCCTGCAGCTGAGACAGCTTACGCTAATCGCGGCGTCGGGGGTGAGACACGACTACCTTCATGCCACCAAAAAAATGCGCATGCGTGCGAAGCCCTTGCTTGGCCTTGTAGCGTCCAAAAACTGTTCAAGGATACAGTCCATGCGGGTAACACTTACCCGCCATGCGAAATGCCGGATGGATCGCGCGGCACCCCCAGCCCATCTACTTCAACGAGCCAGCGGCGTGCGCCTGCGAGGACCTCGGAAGCAGTGGCTCGCTGCTGCCAGTCCTCGTCGAGGCATTGGCGAAGAGCCCACGCACTGCTGCCCCAAACATGACCAGGATGCTCGGATACCCCACGCTTGAATTGGCCAACCGGCGTGCCGATGTCGTCGTCGGAAAAAACGTCGGAATACTGCGACACACGTGGGCGTGAGGGGGTCCTGCCGTGCAACATGAGGTACAAGCATAAACCAACTGACCAAACATCCGCCGACGACGTGTACGGCTTATTCACAAGTTCCGGGGCTTGGAATTCTCTGGTCCCCACTGGTGTCAGGAGCTCGCCTGCCTCGCTGTTTGAAGCAACATTGAAGTCGACAATCTTCACGAGGCCCCCCTTCGAAATGATCAGATTCTCGGGCTTCATATTCGCCGACCCCTTGGGGTTACCGGTGTGGAAGGTTCGCGCCGCGTCCCCAAACCCGTCCTCGCGGCATTCGGCCGAGGCGCAGGAGTGCCAAAACATCCGGAGAAATTTTACGAAACGCATGGACGTCGCCAAAACAGCCAAATACGATTCCTGGATTCCAAGACAAGGCTAACGGCATACATGCCAACAGCAATCAAACTACCCCACGGAAGCGCCCGAAAGGAGGCCCAACGGGACGTACCGAGAGGCTCAGGAGAAGCCCAGGACGGGACAACAGGGAAGCACAGACGCCCGACGAGCAGATCCCCGAAGACTCCAAATAATCCAAAATTCCAGACAATCCAACACCCCAGTCAAACCGGACAGCGACCAGAGACGCCCAAGACGTGGCCTAACACGGCCCAAGGGGGCCGCAAGACGGCCAAACAAACACCCACTACGGCTCCCAAGCGGAACCAGAACTTAATCTGCGACGTGCCCAACAGGCCAGATCATTGCGGATGTTGGCGTGGCTAAGATCGCGCTTCAGAATGCAAATTCAATGTACATCTCGCGCCCTACGTGACCCACTCGGGTGTAACACCGCAGGGAGAAACGAGGAAAGGAGGCGGGGATGCGAAACATATGACGACGGAAAGAAGCGGAATGGGCGAATGGAAGGGATGAGGCCCAGAGACAAGTGAAGGCGCTGCAGACGATGGAGGCAGCCATGCGAGTGGGAATCGAAAGGAGAAACGCGGGCGCCAGGAGGAAACGGGGTGGCGGAGGAATCGTGGCACGCGGCGGGAGATCGATTGGAATCGCAAGAAAGCAAAGAGCAAAAGGAAAGAGCAGGAACGCCAGCGAGAAGAGGGTGGAGGCGGACGATGACGACGAAGAGCGTGAACGAAGAATTCGAAATTCCCAGCCCTGAACGCCAGCAGCATGACGCCGCGCGAAGAGATGATGAACGAGATGGCGAGGAAAGTTCTCGTGGCCCCACCTAGCGCCCCCGGCGGTCAGCCACAGTCAGATCGCGAAGCGAGCGAGGCCCAGCTCTGTGGCCAGCCTCTCGGTCACATTATGGCACCTTCTGGCGCTCGTTTTCAATCCTCGCAGGCGCGCCGCCAGGCCCGCGGGCGGCCAGCGCGGCAGGAACTCAGTCCTGCGTCATCGGGAGATTCTCGACCTCCGTGGCCCGTGAGGACAACGAGTAAGGATGCAGCCGCAGCCTGTCCAGGTCGTCCGCGCCCTGGCGTCCGATGTCACTGACCAGTCCGTTCTGCATGATCCGTCCCTGGCCGGCCGTGGACGTGAACACCTGGGCGCAGCAGGTGGCCAGGCCGGTGCGCGTGATCTGGTACTTGCGGAAGTAGAACGGGCTGGAGGTCTCCGGCTCGATGGGAAGCAAGCGCGCCGCGTCCTCGGAGTCGAAGTCGCGATCGACCCCCCCCACTTTTGGCAGAAAAAGCCAGCATGCTGCACTTGCCCATTGGCTTTTTCATCCTCCACACCCTGATCATCCCGAACGTTGGTGGCCACGTGCGCGACCTCGCCTTCGGCATCCTTGGAAAGCCCTCTTTCGCGGTCCAGGTCATCCAACAGGCATGCCCGCATGCCCGCGCGCAGGGACAGCATCCCGCGTATACCGCACATCGCGGCTGGGTTGATGTGGTTCACCATTTCCACGGCCATGTCGACGTCACTCCGCTGCACTTCCCCGGAGCCATACGAACGTGGCGACAAGTTGGCAGTTTGCACCCCCCATGTGCAGCGAGGTTTCATCTACGCCATATAGAACGTCATCCCGCTGGACCTCCGAAGAACCCTACGACAGTAGCAACAGCCTCACAGTTCGCAGCAGCACCCGAAATACAGCGAGATCTCCTCTAATCTGTCACTCCGCCAGACCTCCCAAAGGCCCATGAAAGTGGAGACAGCTTCGCAGTTCGCAATCCCCGGGGACGGCAACATCTCACCTGATCTGTATAAGACGTCGCTCCGCTGGACCACCCAGGAAACCAAAGTGGCGACAATCTCGCACTTCGCAGTCCCCAGGCACGAAAAGGTCTCATCTGATCTGGATGAGACGTTACCCCGCTGCACATCCCAGGAACCAGCGCAAGTGACGGCAACGTCACAGCTCGTTACCCTCAGAGGTGGGGGAGAGCGAGATCTCACTTGATCTTAATAAGACGTCGCTCCGCTGGAAGAAACCCCATGAAACCAACGAAAATGGCGGCAGATTCACAGATCGCAGTCCCCAGGTGCGGCGAGGTCTGATCTGAATAAAACGTCACCACGCTGGACCTCCCAGGCAACCACGGAAGTGGGGACAATTTCACGGTTCGCAGTCCCCAGAGGATGGCGAGGCTTCATATAATCTGAGTAAGACGTTATCCCGTTGGACTCCTTCAGAACCAACGAAAATGACAACGATGTTGCAGTCCACAGTCCCAGAGGGCGGCGAAGTCTCATCTGATCTGGATACGACGTTACTCCGCCGGACCTCCCAGGAACGCGCGAAAGTGGCGACAGTTCCGCAGCCCGCAGTCCTCGGAGACGGCGAAATCTCATCTGATCTGAATAGCACGTGACCCCGCCGGACCTCGCAGGAGCCCGTGTAAGAGGCGACAGATTTATAGTTCGCAATCCACAAGGAAGGGCAAGGCCTCTTTCAGATAAGACAGTTGCGCAGCTCGCGAAACCGAAGACGGCGAGCAGCGAGGACGAGGTTGGATGCAGGAAGCAGGACACTGCCGAGTATCCCACCAGCCCTTTAGGGCGCGATTCCCCTTTCCACCCCCCGTTCCTTATTCCCTTTCGCCGAGGGGTTTACCCCTCGCTCGCACCCCCCCCGTGAGCCTGCACGGGGCGGGGGTCCCGACCGATGATCGGGGACCCCCCCTTTGATCGATCTCCTCCGAGATGGCACCCAGATGGCCCCCGAGGCTCCCAGGGGGGCCCAGGAAGCGCCCAGAATGCCCCAAGAGGCCCCCAAGAGGCCCCCCCCGAAACCTCCAATAGGCCCCAAGAGGCTCCCCCAAGGCACCCGAAACGCTCCGAGAGCCCCCAGGGACCGCCAATACGCCCCCGAGACGACGTAAGAGGGCTCTTCAGAGACATCCAAACAGACCCCGAGAGGCACCCAAGATGCCTCTCCTCCTCCTCCTCCTCATCCGCCTTTTCCTCCTCATCCCTCCTCCGTCCTCACCCCCCCCTCCACCTCCCCCTCCGCCCCCACTCCCCCTCGTCCTCCTCCTGCTCCTGCTCCTGCTCCTCCTCCTCCTCAAATTCCTCCTCCTCAAATTCCTCCTCTTCCTCCTCCTCTTCCTCCTCCTCCTCCGATTCCTCCTCCCCCCCGCCCACCCTTGGGGCATGTGCGACGGCATCCCCAACCTCTTCTTCCATTGCATGCTCCTTCACATCCCTGATCAGGGCAACTCGCCTGGGCATCGTTCCTGAATGGGCTGGCGCGTCTACGCGAAACTTTCAGAATATTGGAATTCACAAGATGGCAATATACTATTTGGGCATTCCCGGAAGCACCCCGCACGGGGGTATAAATCTCAATCGTATCCAAATTGATGCGCTGGTGCGTCGCGCTGTCCTCTCCTTCGCACGGTGCGACAATTCCTGGTCATGTGCCGAACTGTGAGAGACTTCCCTTTCCAAGCCGCTCCGGTTCCCACATGGCTCCCCGTACCTCCTCATCCTTCTCACTCAGCCCTCATAATTCCGCTCGTCGTCGTCCTCCTCCTCCTCCTCCTCCTCCTGCTCGCTCCTTCTCCTCCTCCACCTCCTCCTCCTGCTCCTCCTTCTCTCTCCTCCTCCCTCGATCCTCTTTGCCCCTTGCCCTATTCTTCCTGTTCCCTGCTCTCCTTCCTCTGATGCTTCCCCGTCATCTGCCCCATGCCTCCCTCCTCCTGCCCTCATCATCCTTCTCGCTCCGCTCCTCCTTTCCGCTTCATCTTCCTCCTTTTCGCTCCTCTTCCTCTCGACCCCTTCTGATCCGTTCCTCTCGCGCGTGGCATGAGGCGGAATAGGCCGAGTCACACATCTCTCTCAGCCTGCTGTAACATCTGGACACGCGCAGCACGTGCAGAAAGCAGGGGAACGACGAGCGACTATGGACATTGTAAATGACAGGGGAAACGATCGTCCTCTGCACAGCCAAGTCCCTCTCTTCGTCCGAAAGAGAACGAGCCGAGCCCCGATGTTTGTCCAGATGAAAGTGCACTAGACAATCGGGGAACTGTGTGTCCTGGATGGCCGGCCACACCAGAGGGCAAACCGTGCAGTGAGCCTAAGAATCGACAACTCCAGGTCCATTACATCCGGGTGTGCACTCCTGATCTGTCCTCATAGTCCTCCTCCTCCTCCTCCGCCTCCTCCTCCTCCTCCTCCTCCTCCTCCTCCTCCCCCTCCTCCTGGTCCTCATCTTCCTCCTCCTCCTGATCCTCCTCCTTCCTCCTCCTCCTGCTCCTGTGGTTCCTCCTGGTTCTCCTCGCCTTCTCGTCGGCGTCCTTCTCCTCCTCCTCCTCCTCCTCCTTCTCCTCCTTCTCCTCCTTCTCCTCCTCTTCCTCCTCTTCCCCATCCTTCTCTTCTGCCTCCTCCTCCTCCTCATCCTTCTCTCCCTCCTGCCCCGCCTCTATCCCCTCCGTCTTATGACCTCTTCCTCTCCTCATCTTTTTATGTTACCCTGCTCATATTCCTTCTCGATCGTGGATTCCTTTGGAGCCATTGAAAGCACCTGGGAGGTCCTAGAGGCCACAGGCAGCCCAAGGAAGGCACCTTGACGGCCTCCGAGAACCTCACGGGGGGGGGCTCAAGAGTGACAAAATTACGACTTCCGAATTATGATCTGCACGTCCCAAGAGCGTCCGCCCCGGGAGGGTGACCCCCCGCGTTGCTGGGCGATTTGACTTCCCCTGGTCCCGCCAGGCCATCCAAGGACACCCACGCGGCACTGAGCAGAAATACGACGGGGTCGAGGATGGGAGCTCTCCGTGTGGGAAAGCGGGCGCGGTGAAAGTGAGAAAGTGGGGACAATGTCGCACTTAAGGGCCCCAACCGTCGTTGGCGTCCAGCGGCTCGAAGCCCGGCCCTCTACGCTACTGTGCGATTCAGCCTCCCCCCGCTGTTCCGCAGGGCCCAGGGAGGGCGATGTTTCTCAATTTGTCGCCCATGAGAAACACCTCCCCCCACCCTCGGCGGTGACGGAGGGCATGCGGCTGGGTAGGCGGGTTGGCGTGGGTGGCTGGTTGACGGGGTGGCCGGTTGGGCTGGTTGGGTTTGGGCTGGCTGGCTTTGGCTGGTTGGGCTGGTTGGGTTGGGCTGGCTGGACTGGGCTGGGCTGGTTGGGTGGCTGGGCTGGTGGGGCTGGCTTGGCTGGCTGGCCGGGCTGGCCGGGGCAACTCGCTCCGATACAGTCCACCTCCCGAGGACGTCTGCCCGTGGCTGCGATCCCGCGCGCTCTGCCAGGCGACGTGGCCTCCCCGGACCGCCCCGCCGGGCCCGGCAGGGAGGCTCGCGCGGGGGCGGCAGCGTCGAGGGCGGGAGCGCTTCCGTGGAGAAGGGCAGGCGCGGCGTGCGCCCCGCCAGGCCCTCTGGGGTCGCTCGGGCTGCGAGCCGGTGTGTCCGTAGGGTTCCGGTGTCTGGCGCCGAGCGACGATGAAACAAGCGGGTCTTACGCGAGATGGCATCGCGACCTGACGCGGTGGCTCACGCGGGCCGCCAGGCGCAGCACGATACGCTGGAAGCGAGGGCGCCCGCTCGCGACCTTACGCGGGCAGCTTACGCGCCAATCTCGGCGCAGACGGCTCCGTTTTCGTTGCGTCGCTCAGTTGTGGCAATCATAGAACTGCACTGAATGTGTATGAGCACGTGAGCTTATGGCGTCACCCGCTTACTGAGGGAAGCGACATCTAGACCGTTCCGCGCAGGACCCGAAGAGTGACGACAGCGCCACGGATGACAGTGATCCGTTCATGAAAGCGGACACGGCTTCCGCGCTGGGGTGCGGTCCCCACTGCTGCTCGTCGAGTTGACCCGCCGTGACCGTCCCGCCAGGCACTCTGAGAAGCCCCACGCGGGACTTGAAGAGTCACGACGGATTCGAGGACAGAAGCGTTTTCGGTGAGGACGCGAGCGCCGCCAAAGTGAAAGTATCACGACAGTGACGCCCAGCGAATTATGGGAGGAAACCCATAGACCCTTGGAAAATTGCTGTTCTCCGAGGGTCGATGGGCGGGTTTCCCAGGACGTGTGGATTGCGAGGCACCTATGCGCGGACGACTGCTAGGGCAATTGGTTTCGATTCTCTTTTCTGGTCCGCGGATCACCCTCACGATCCCCCCGAGACGGCCCAGAGGAGCCCAAGAAGTGACCTGGACGGCCCAAGAGGGAACCGAAGACGCGCGACGAGGGGGCCCCGAGAGACTCCAGACGGCCCAAGACCGCCCCGAGACGGCAGAACACAGGCCCCAGACGGCCTCTAGGCACTCTCCAGACGGCCCACAGAAACTCAGGATGGCCTAAAGGGGCACCAGGACGGCCCAACCGGCCCCCACGACGGTCTCGGAACGGCCCGAAGAGGCTCCCAACGAGGACAAAGAGCGGCCGGAGCGCTGTGTAGTCCGGCCGTGTCCCCCGCGAAGCGGGGTGTATCACGGTGAACAATGCTTTGATCATGCAAGTAAGCCAATCCAGCAACCGCTTGGACGAAAAGGCGCATGGAGCCCAGCTCGTTGAGGCGACGCGAAGCAGCCGAGCGCACCACCAAGCGCAGATTGCGGCCCACGATGTCTTCCAGCACCAGCGCCACGCACCACGGCGATTCCAGGAAATCTAGAGCAACGACTATGTTGGGATGCTTCAGGTCTTTCAAGAGAGCGAACTCCCGCTTTGCCAAAATCACTTCATCTGCGTTCCTGCGACGCCTCGCCTTGAGGACAACCCCTTTGCCGTCCGAGATCCTCAGCGCACGGTAGGCAACGCTTGACGAACCCATCCCAATCTTTTCGAAGTTGGCAAAGGCGTCGGTTACATTTTGGCACCTCAGATGATCAGGCACTGCTGCTCCAGCTCCTTCGGCCAGCTTGATGGCGGGATCGCCGCACTGCGGCTGTCCCCGGCTCCGTGGCAGCACCAGCGGCGCATGCGCCAAAGCCATACTTGAACCCAATCTCCTGCGACTCCGCAGAGTCGAAGCGCAGTGCGTGCCGTCATCGCTGGACACCGCCCTGGTAAACCCGTCCTTTGGAAATCGATTAATATCAAACTCGGCGGGCGTTGCCCCAATAACCGCTGCCACAGCACCATCCCCTGAGCGCATGTCCAGAGAGGAACGCGACTGCGTCAGCGACATCCAACCAAAGCAGCACGACATGTTAACGACTGTTGATGTCAAGCAACTGCCGAGGCTGGTCAGCCGTGACGCATTGAGACACCACAGCTAAATACCCAACAACAAATTAAATGGACCCAACAAGATGCACGTAATGGCCGCACCTTGCCCCTTGCTCACAGCACAAAGCAGAACGGAGGGAGGGGTCTGCTGTGTGCTCGAAGAGTCCAGGTCCGAAAAGCCTCCCGCGAACGCCGATTCTTCCTTGACGGAAGAGAAGGCGCACCCAAGCGCGCCCCCCATTGCTTTTTGATCAGGCGCACGCCAGATGTTGTTAGAACAACACGCACCACCTTCGAAGGGGCAGGGAGACCCGCCGCGATGAGCGAAGAAGGCCGCCGCAGGCGCTACCGTTTGCAAGTGAAGCGGTCCTCGCAGTCTATCCTTAGGTCGAACATGTCCTCCTACAGGCGGATTCGGGATGACACATGTAAATAACCAAAGCTGAATCAAAAGTAAGCAAACAAATCATAAAACACGTCCCTCTAATTTGTTTAACTATTCTTGACGATGTCTCCTGCAGAAGGGCATACCCGACTTAGTCTATCCTGTACCCGCGCCCTGGTCCCCCCCTGACCCCGACGCCCACCCCCGGATGATGGCCAGGGATGGAGAGGACGAGGAGCCACATCAGAAGCAAGAGTCGGAGCGGGAAGGAGCAGGAGATGGAGGGGGACCGAGAGGAGGAGGAGGAGGAGGAGGAGGAGGAGGAGGAGGATGAGGAGGAGGAGGAGGGGCCCGAAAGGCTGGCCGGCCCCGGAATCCCCAGGGATGAGGCTGGCGTTGAACTCTCCTCTCAGGGCGGGTTCTGTCTTCACTTCCCGCTGGCCTCCCGCTACCTTTGGCCATGAGCCCGTTTGTTCTCGTATCCGCGACAACGCCCGTGACCAGCCCCGCCCCCTCTGACCCCCTGGTCACGTCACGATTCGCGCAGGCGCCGTATGGGATTTAGCCATCCCGATAAGCATTCCAGAACGACGCCAACGCGAATCGTGACGTGACCCCCCCCCCCAAAGGGACATCACTTTGCGGGTTCCCAGGGCTTCCTGGGGCCACCTCGGGAATAAGAACCTCCTGGGGCCCCCTTGGACCTCGCACGGCCCCCTTCAGGTTTCCTCGGGCATCCTGGGGCCTCACGCGGCCTGCTGGGAAGTCCTGGGGCCTCCTTGACACTCCTGGGGCCCCTGGGCCCGCTGCTCACGCCCCTGGCTCCGCGACGCTGGGGGCTGCAAAACTGTGATTATGCGCAGACCATTATGCGCAGAACTCCGCCGCCAGAGCCGGCGGGCCTTGTCCCGACCAGCCGTTCGGGGCTTCCCGAGGGCTCGAAGGCGACCCCTTGCCTAGAATGGTGCCCTGTCATAAACATGATGTGTATATACGTACACACATATGTGTGTGTAAATGTATGCGTATGTACGCATCTATGTATACACAGTTGTACATATATGTATATACGTATGTATATATATATATATGCGTGTGTAATGAACATGTACATCCATATCAATAGATATGTACATGTGTGGTTTTGCGCTGCATAGACGATACTAAACTACACTACGCACCGGTGTGTGCACGTGGGCATCGATATTTAAGCTTACAAGAATACGTATTTATCTGAGCGTGCAGTACGTAAACGTATATACAGCCACCTGATAACTCCCATGAGCATGTCACGATGTGTAGATGTCTCTCTCTCTCTCTCCCTCTCTCTCTCTCTCTATTTGTACACATGCGAACATGCGCACACGTCGAGTTGCACATACATGCATACACTCATGGAACACATGCTATAATGACGAACCCAACAGAGCAGAAACCTCATTCGCGTTATTCGCACGCAACCAAGGACTGAAACTAGCCACAGCCACGATGGCGAGCTCCATCCTTTATTTTCTGGAGTTGCATGACAACACAAACCACGAGGAATCGAGACGGCCAAACCGCGCCCCGAGAATACCATCAAACGGCCTCGTGCGGGCCGACGCTTCGACGCCCGCATGCAAACCCTGGCACTGAAGCCTTCGGTGGAGCGTTTTGGGGGCCACAAAACGTGTGAGGGGTGTGGCGACGGGCGCGGAACCGCATGCGAACCCTGCCACTGGGGAAATCGGCGGAGCTCGCTATGGGACCACGGAGCGGTTGAGGTGTGCGCCGATTTGGGTGTGGAACCGCATGCGAACCCAGCCACTGGGGCCGTCGGTGGAGCTGCCCATGGAGCCACGAAGCGTGTGAGGGGTGTACAGAACTGGGGGTGGAACTGCATGCGAACCCTTCAACTGGGGCCTTGGGTTGACCTCCCTATGGGGCAACAAGACGTGTGAAGGGTGTACCGAACTGGGGGTGGAACTGCATGCGAGCCCTGCCACTGCGGCCTTCGGTGGAGCGCCCTATGGAGCCACGAAACGTGTGAGGGGTGTGCCGAACTGGGGGTGGAACTGCATGCGAACCCTGCCACCAGGGCCTTCGGTGGAGCTCCCCATGGGGCCATGGAACGTGTGAGGGGTGCGCCGAAGTGGGCACGTGGAGGACAGAGAACAGGAGGGGGAGGAGGAGGAGGAGGAGGAGGAGGAGGAGGAGGAGGAGGAGGAGGAGGAGAAGGAAGAGGAGAAGGAGGAGGAGGAAGAGGAGGAGGAGGAGGAGGAGGAGGGGGAGGAGGAGGAGGGGGAGGAGGAGGAGGGGGAGGAGGAGGAAGAGGACGAGGAAGGAAAGAGTGAGTGACGCGGGCCGCTGTCTCTTCAAAACGAAGACCCAACACCACAGGATGGCTGGGAATAATGGCATCGGGGGTTTGGGAATCCTGCGCCCCGAAAAGCTACCATCGCTTGGGGGCACATCGTTTACTTCCGCCAGCTTCCACCGGCCTTCCGCCAGCTTCCGCCGTCGGAGGTGGCCTCGTTTATTTCCGCCGCCTTCCGCCGAAGAACAGATGGCAACTCCTCCGATCTTCGAGCGCGAGGGCATTTCTGGAACGCCTCGCACGCCTAGACCTCATTCATCTTGTGAAAGCGTAATGGTTGTTTCTTTGGCCACTCGCGGGATCCAGATGCCCGTCTCGGCCAGGTGGCATAAAAACAAAACAACAACAATCAGTCTGGGGGTGCAAAAATGGTCCCTGGGAAGGGGTCGAGTGTGTCAAGGGGACTGTTGCAAAAACAGCTGGCCTCTGGATAGGTATCAATCTCTCGCCCACGGAGCGACCCTTGGCATCATCTTGTCCGTGCGCGGGCCCCATTGGGATAAGGAAATGTCCGAGGATGAGCACCTATGAATACCCGATAGCTGTTGTCATTCCGTCCGAGTTCTCGGGGGAGACTGCTTGCAACACTCACGGAAGATCCATGGGGTCGTCTTTGGCGATCTCGCGGACATGTTTGGATCAACTTCGGCGAATGAGGCTCTCGAGGAAGCGTCTAGGGCCTGCTGTGGCCCTTCGTCTTGTTCGAAGTTTAACGGGGCTCTCCTGGGAGATGTTGTTGGCTCGCGTGTCGCCGCAGGGCCGCTCCGAGCATTTCTGCCAGGGTTCGGCCAGCCTCCGGCGCGTTGCAGGGAGCGTTGTTTGTGGGAAGGCGGCCGCCGAGTAGCGCGGAGCTTGGTCGCGCGGCCGAGGCAGGAACCGCCCAGAGGGCGAGAAGTCGGATCGACAAGGACCGAAGAGCGAACGGGCAAGCGGGAAGCGCGCGCACACGCACGCACACACACACAAACACACACACAAACACACACACACAAACACACACACAAACACACACACACACACACACACACACGCACGCACGCACGTACGCACGCACGCACGCACGCACGCACAGACATGTTTGGGCGTCGCGGCCACGCGCGCGGCGTTGCAGCGTAGGAAGGTCCATGGGGAAGCGCGCATAAGCCCAGCTCACGCAGCGGTGAGACACTGGATCCGCCCGTAGGGGATCGACAACGTCACTCACGGGAAGGGAACCGTGAGGTGACAGGCGCGGAAAGAGGGGAAAGACGAAGAAGGAGACGAACTCGAAGACGAAGCAGTGCGACAGTGGCAACCAACAAGCGAGGCGCAGTGAGGACCGGCAACCACAGCCACCCAAGGAAGAGGATCCATTCAGTCTGGGATATTGGGGAAGCCAGCATCCAAGAGACGACGCCCGTGCAGCAGCACGAGAGCCAGGAGAAAAAGTGCAGGACTGCCCTCGGCAAGGGGAAGACGGGGCAGGCTGAACCAAGGACGGACACATCGAGAGCCTCCCAACAGGAGGCGGGGCACAACACACACGCAAACGTTTTCTCCAGCGGCCAGGTGACACCACCGCAGCATGTACTAAGGCGTGGCGGGCTTAGTTCAATTACCACCTGGCGATGCAGATGAGGAGTCAGGATGCAGGCTGACGCATGCAAAAACAAGGCAGAAGCGGACGCCCGCGGAAAATGCCTTAGAGGGCATGCAGGTGTCGATGTGAGCAGAGCCACATGCGCAGACGCAGGATACTTTTCCGAGCCTCGCCCACCGCAGCCCACTTAAGGGTGCGAAGCGGACGGCTGGAGCAGGAAACGCAAGGGCCACAGAGAAGATGCGAGGGCCAAGAGCCGGGCTGCAAGGGCGACGGGCACGAGCGCGGAGGGGGCAGCGTAACAAGAGCAAGCGGGCGCAGGCGGGCCACGGTTCCAAGCAGCCCGCTTGCAGGCGCGACGTGGCACCAATGCGCCCGCTGCCAGCAGGGCAGAAAGTGGAAGCGGGCAGCTGTCATGGCGACGCCTCCTGTGAAAGAAGCACAAGCCCGAAGTGACGGCGCACAGCGAGGCGTCGGCGCCCTGGCCAAGCGGAACACCGATCGTCCGGCCGAGGACCTTTTATTCAGGGCGTGGCGGGCGTGGCAGGCAGCCACCAGTCCCAGGGTCGCATGCTGGGCCAATGGAGCGAACAGGCGCGAGCGGTGGTGGTGGTGGTGGTGGTGGTGGTGGTGGTGGTGGTGGTGGTGGTGGTGGTGGTG